CTATTGTCATACCCATACCAAAGCCAGGTAAAACCGCTACGTTGACAACTAGTTATAGACCCATTTCTCTTACTTGTAATTTATGTAAATTGTTTGAGAAGGTCGTAAGTAACAGATTGAGATGGTATTTGGAACATAATCAACTAATATCCCACCTGCAATTCGGATTTAGGCAATTTAGATCAACTTTAGATCATTTAGCTCACTTAGAACATGATATACTCACATCTTTTGCAAATAAAAATAAAGTAGTAGTGGTTTCTATGGATTTGGAAAAAGCCTATGACATGGTGTGGAAACATAGGGTTATGTTGATCTTGGAACAGTTCAATGTAAAAGGAAACGTGCTTGCCTTTATTATTAACTTTTTGACTAAGAGATCCATAAGGGTTAAAATCAATGGTGTTCTATCTGATAAGCTCTACACGGAAAATGGACTACCTCAGGGGTCAGTTTTGAGTGTCATCCTGTTTTTGATAGCTATAAATGATGTTTTAGAAGTTATAGAGAGACCTGTGAAAGGTTGTTTGTTTGCAGATGACTTGACAATATTGTGTAGTGGTAATACTCTTAAACCAACAGAGAGGCTCTTACAATACACCTTGGATAAACTTAATGAATGGTGTAAACACACCGGTTTTAAATTTTCCGAAACAAAGACTGAATTCATGATTATTTCGTGTAGAAAAAGCAAAGATACAATATGTTTAGCTATAAATAATCATAAAATCAGGGAAGTACAAAATCTTAAAATATTAGGTCTAACATTTGATCAAAAAATGAACTGGGTTACTCATATTAAAAAACTAAAATCAGAATGTTATAGTAGGATGAATGTTATTAAAATATTATCAGCTATTAAATGGGGTTCGGACAGTAAATGCATCAAAAACACGTATAAAGCATTGATTAGGCAGAAAATTGATTATGGTTCTATTATATACGACTCGGCTTCTTCTAACATTTTAAAGCTTTTGGAAAGCACACATAACACCTGCCTAAGATTAAGCTTGGGAGCCTTTAGAACTAGTCCAACCAATAGTATCCTGGTTGAGGCAGATGAAATGCCACTAACGTTAAGAAGAAAAGAGTTGTGTCTTACGTATGCGGTCGGCCACATGGCTAATTACAAGGATTCGTTTCTCTCAAAAACTACCTTACAATCTGATATCGAATACAACCTTCGCCCGTCTCTTCCTCTTCCATTAAGATTAAGAGTTCAAAAGTATGTAAACGAAATTGAATTTAAACTTCCTCCTACTTATTCTCGCGAGCATCCTAAAAAACCGCCATGGGAAATTTTTTACATCACAGTTAACTTAGATATAGCCAACAAACACCCCCGAGATAACACTCCTGATTACATTTATAAAAACATGTTTAACCAACTTAAAGATAGTTATCCGGACTATGTACATTACTATACGGACGGCTCGGTTTTTAAAGGAAGGTCAGGTTGTGCGATAGTTTCAGGAGATGAGAGCTACAAGTATAGATTACCCGACTACTCATCTATCTTTACATGTGAAGCAGTTGCTATGCTGAAATGTCTAGAGGTAATTAAGAACAAAACGAGCATCAATAAAAGTATCATTTTTTCTGATTCAATGTCGACTCTCAAGGCCTTAATAAATATTAGAAATAAAGAACCTTTAATAAATTTAATAAGAGAGAACATACTTAATCTAGTCAATAATAATTTTGTCATAGAATTAATCTGGATTCCTAGCCATAAAGGTATTCCCGGCAATGAAAGAGTGGACAAAGAAGCTAAAGAAGCCACAAAATATGATAATTGTAATAACATTACTTCTAATATTCAAGACCTTAAAAAGTACCTTAAACTGAAGGTAAAAATGTTATGGAATAGCTATTGGGTAGAAGATAATAATAGTGCTTTGTATGAGATAAGGAAAACAGTTTTTGAAAAACGCAATTTTCTGACAGATAACAGAAAAGATCAGATAGTTTTAAATAGATTAAGAATAGGACATTGTAATGTAACTCATATACATCTTATTACTAAGGAAGCTAAGAAAAAATGTTCAAGATGCGATAGTGACTTAACTATCAAGCACTTACTAATTGAATGTCACATGTATAATAAAGAAAGATTAGAAGTTAGTCTACCTAAGAATTTAAAAGATTGTTTAAACAATGTAGAAAAGACTGTAAAATTCCTAAAACTAATTAATTACTATAATTTAATTTAATATTGTGAACCTACAGAGGTCGCTAATGACCCTAGATGTTTGAGCGACCTTAAATAAAGAAAAAAAAAAAAAAAAAAAAAAAAAAAGATAAATAGATTTTTAAACCTTTTCACATCGCAACTACCCATAAATTCGCTATTTACTGTCAATTCGTCCATCCAGACGATGCCTGTAAGAGATTGCTTCTTAGCGACAAGACCGCTATTACAGTCATCTTATTTAATTTTGTTAAGAAAAAATCATTGCTGTATAATGACGTTTATTGTATTCCATCCTACATATTCTCATTTATTTTTCAAAATAAATTAATGCTACTAATGACTGTAATATCACTTTGGTTTTCAAAATAGGACTAACATAGCTGTGTCTTAATCTTTTTTTGTTGACATTTATTACAGAAGGACATGTCAGCGTACCTTATTACATTGTTATACTGAGCCAATTTAAATTACACTACTCTCGAGTTGATTATTTTGAAGTCTACTTCCTTGGTGTTTAACTTTAGTTTTTCAGCAACGTTTTTCGCGTTTTATTTTAGACACATTGCGTAAACAATTGCTGTATGTCTTGCAAAGCTTAATACGTACAGATGAAAAAGGTTTTTGCCAAATTCATGTAATTAAAAATATTACTGTGAAAAATTAATAACAGAAATACCAAGATCGGAAATATTGTATTTTTTTTTTGGCAAAAACATTATCGTTTAAACATTGGACTCCCCCCGATGATACATAAAAAGGTTATTTTAGAACTTATTATTTACTAATCTTTTTCACCTGGTTTACGATGCGTAAAATAATGAAAATGTTAATATTTAAACTATAATCAGATAATGTTAATAGGTTCTAACTTCGATCAAATAAACTATTAGTAGTAGTTTGTTTGATCGAAGGGGTTTGTAATCTGCGCTCCGACGCCTCCGACACGGATTACATATCCTTTGTCTGCAAAGTACCTATATGTGGAAAATTTCAGGATCGAATAGATCATTAAAAAAAAAAGAAATTTATAAATAAACAAACCCATTTTCGCCTTTACGTTAAATTTTAGTAAGGATTAAAATTAAATAGTAATCAAGATTGTTTCTAATACTGCTTCTAAAATAATCTTCTGTTAGGTTTCTACTTTTCTTACGAGAGCATTTTATGTTACGAGTACTATGTCGAAAAAATTGTAAACCCTGTTCTTGAGACATTACCTACTGAATCGAAAACATATATTACTTTACAAATAAATAAAATTGAAGTATCTGTTTGTAATGTCAATGTTTTTTTTCACACTCACACGGTTATTTGAACAAAACCTATGCCTAAAAACAAGTTTTGTCTGTCTGTTTGTTCCGGATAATCTTTAAAACGGCTAAACCGATTTTGATCATATTTTTAAATTCGCGGGCACCAGCTAGTATATTTTATAAATGAAGAGATTTAATAATCTCTAAGTAAGTTTAAGCAGCGCTTGAGAAAACAGTTTTAAAGTATTTGTTTCGCCAACCATTCGAACAAGCATAACAGACATATGAGTACACATCTTGTGAACGGTTTGACCTATGACTTTTTGTGTGTGAATATTTTCCATAATAAGTGCTTTTCCCGTTTCATGCCCTGTGACCCAAGATGTTCTGACATTTGACACGTGTAAGCCGAGGGGTTAGTTACGTTCGAAATAAGAATATAGCAAGATTTAAAAGATAAATTTACTTTTGCATAAACATAATATTTTCATTGAGTCTAGTATCAAAATGTATGTCACAGTATTAACGCCAGCATTTCCTTATAAGATCTTAAACAACTAAAAGAGAGTTCAATAAAAATGCACGGAATACAATGGATTGCATCATAATTATGACAATCGTCATTGTGATTTATATCTCAGGTGACAGAGTGAGCTGTGCATCATATACGACCTTGGTTCCGATTGTGCCGAACTCACGCCGCTTTAATCACAGAACACCTGTCCCGAGAATTTGTAAGAAGCTATTAATAGGATGACTTTCATTGAGGTATGAAATGAGATAATAGTTTACACGCATTTTTGTGTCGTACCAAAACAAACAGAGGTTAAAAGGATTTTCAGAGCAAATATTAGATTATATTACAGTACAGACTACATTTTCAAATTAAATATTATATAGTAAACTTTTTACTAAGTATCACCAAATTCAATGCGCTGTCATTATGATGAATTGTTATAAACTGTATTCTGTAATACTTCATTACAAAAAACATACAATCGAATTGAGAACCATCCTTTTTTTAAGTCGGCTAAAAATAATTTCGCTTGTGAAACAATATAGCTGACAATATTGCTTTATAAGTGATTATAGTCCTTATGCTATCAGTTTTGAATTTTTGTTTTTATGGAAAACGAGGCATCTACTGTGAAATAATTATCTATTGCTATTAAAATGTACATCTGCTAAAAATACAATTGAATTGACCTTTCTCAGTCAGTGTTTCTAAAACAAATGATAATTAAATATATGGCAAAAGCATAATCTTCGGTAAACACATTTGACATCGCGTAAGTACATATGTTCGAAAATAATTAATAACTCACCCTTTGACACAGCTATTTAAATCAGACATATTGATATATTGGTGTGGAGGATCTTATTCAATAAATTTTCAATAAACATTGAATTAAGTAGCTAAGTTATTAAGTAGCTGTTACACAATATACCTTATTGTAACAGTCACTCTGCATTTGAATTTATATGATTAGTTGAAAAGTTTAACTTATTTTTTGCACCTTGATAGACTGTCTAAAGAATTCATCCAATTGAAAATGGGAACAGTCCGAGTAATTTTTGTACTAGTTCTCTCACTTTCTTTTCCCGTTGACCCTGTCGGTGACGACATTTCATCTAGGCAAAAGACTTTTATCAAAACGTACGTTACATTTTTAAGAGAAAGTATTTGCAGGCATCTAATGATGAACCAAAAAATGTTGTCTAAATACAAATGACCCACTGAAATGTGGATGCAGGATAATGTTAAGTTTGACAATGACAGGCGGGCTAGTCTCAGTAGGATGTAAATCGAGCTTATTAGCATATCGTACGCCCAATGGACTTTTCCTTTTCCAACAAATTTTAATGCCAACAACATTACACTTTTAGGAACGTAGAATCACACTCTATTAGTGTGTGTGCCACTGTGTGACACTGCCATAAATGTAACATTAAATTGCAATTAATATTATATCTCATAAAGAAACAAAAGCAAGTACAGAGGGGCAGGATATAATGGCAAGTTATTTACGAATTGTCATTATTAAATTGAAACTATTCCAATATTTAAATCTTTGTGCTAATAAGCACGACAGTTACAATCATATATTTTCATTGTCGAACTCTCAATTTAATTATTCTGTACCAAAATCACAGCACATACCATTGAAAAAATTAGACAACGTTCATAATGAATTGGAATCGCTATTTTTGTAAAACGAGTTCAATAGGCTTTACATATGTAATTACTACTTCCAAGAGATTGAGGAAAGTAAAGTAGTAGAGTAAAGGAGAAAGATTATAATTTATTTGTCAACTTTAATGTAAGGATAGCTAAAAATAGTTGATGTAAACTAGATAAAATTCCCGACTATACGATGGAAAGCCGTTCATTCGCATGCTGGAAGCCGCCTCTATCAGTAATCGTCTTGTTGTTTAACATTTTACAGTTTAAAGTGAAGTTAAAGTTCAAGGTCTTTTCTTATATCAGGTAAGATAGTGATCATGTAAACAGGGTCAACTCTAACTAATAAATTAGCTTTATACTGTTATTCTTAATTTCAATATTTTGCGACTTCTTGTACATTTAATAACGTGCTTGAAACCGTAGCCAAATTCTTGTTTAGTGACTAATTTATACACCTACAATTCTATACGTAATTTTTACTGCAGCTTGAATCATAGGAAATGTTAAGCAATGATTCATTGAACTATTGGCAATGTGTTACAATTCGATATGATAATTAATCAACATAAACGTGATTACTGAAACATTACAGGTGAAGGCGTCCATCGGAGCAACTCGTGCGCTGCTGTGGGCGGGCGGCGCGCGCACTCAGTTAGAGACAGGCATCGACGCCGCTCGCACGAATCTGAACGCCGCACAAGGTACAATCACTAAAAAGAAACGCTTATCACGCTTCATATAACATTAGCACTAATAAAAGCATAAGAATGTATGTGTACTTTTTTTCGTCGACTAATCACCTGTCGACCTCGACATCCATGACTAACTTCATGAACAAGGTATTCAGTTACAAAAATAATTTGCCGTGACTTCATGTGACTGAAATAACGCGTTCCGTTCTAGCGGCTGCTTTGAATAAAGCGGGCAACCGCGGGGAATATTTGCAAAACACTCCATTCCAATGTTTCTTTTTTGTTTCGATAGAATAATACGTTCGATTTTGAAAACCTACTTCACGATTTCAACATCGAACGTCTTATTCTGATATCGTTATTGCGTGTAACACGTATATCTGTATTCATCAAACCAAGTAGATTATTTTGAGCTTTGATGACGGTATTGTTAACCTCGTCGAAGCTAAAAACATCTGTGTGACCTCTCAGCATCTTAAAGTCAATGTTTACTGTCTCATTTATCAAGGGCAATAAAATTATGTTCCTAAATATAAAAGACTAGCAACGATGTGTGGAAATATACTGAAGTGTCTACTCAAATAAATAAAATTTGTGTCAATACCAGTGCTGTAAATTAACAATGGTATTTAAATATGTATTTAGTAAGACATCGATTGGCAATTCGTTTTGAAAAAGAATTATTTCAGTCAATAATTCTTAACATGTAATAAATAACAGTGATGTGATATTGATAGACCGCACTATAAAGGACTTATATTTTTAAGGAAGTTTCAGGTCATTTGCGCATAGAATATTTACCTAGTAAATATTATAAATAATAATATTTATTATAAAAATATATAGTTTTCGTTTCATATTGAATTAACTTCTTAGAATCTGAAAGTACTAGTTAGTATTGTATTTTTTAACTTTTTTTTAAACGATGCAAAATGGAAACTACTTATCAAAGTAGCGCCATCTAGCGGGGCTTCCTCAGCGCAGTAGATTTACCTTTCAATTGAAATCATGAAAGGTTTAGCACATGGTTACAAATTTTCGGTTCAAAACTTCTCTGTTAGATATAATTCCTGAAATAAGTGCGCAAATATTTATTACGTGTGTGGCGCAGGAGTCCAGAACGAAAATAGACTACACCTCGCCGTCTACATTAAATATCGCATCTTGGAGCATAAAGATAATACGCTATTTTTCCTACACCTACACAAACTCTCAAATAAATTTACATGAGTGGTATATTGTTTGCACTGCATTCAAGATTTCATCAAAGTAACGGAGCATTGTTACAAGTGAAAATATGATAAGTATTGTATTTAGTTGCTAAAATTTGGTTTGTAAAAAATTCACTGTAACCAAAATGCACCTACTTCCTATTTTCTCTGCAGCACTAAATAGAGAGAATGCCTTAGGCATCAAGTCCGCAAATGCATAAAAATGTGCATACTGTGTAATAAATAAAAATACTTCTTATTATAATATATAATGTTGCTTTATGAGCCATTATACATATCGGCCTTGCCCTTTTCATACACTATAAAGGTTTTATAGGTTGTTATTCTACTTTACTTTCAGTGCATAAAACTGTATATAAAAATGTCAACTGTCTAGTTATTAGACGACAAAGTCTAAAGGCGCGTAGGTCAAGTGTGCACCGTGAATTTCACATATTGTAAAACGTTATTGTCATTGTCATCCCTCAAAGATACAGTGATCTGAAGGCCGATTCTCGTAATTAAAAGTTCGGTCTTAATTTAGTTCCGATCAACTTTCGACCTAACAACTGTTATTAAATGTATTTTCGTAGTAAAGTATTATACATCCATCCAACGTTGAATGTAATGTGATTATATCGTTTTGTAACTGAAAATTAAATCGTAATCTGTTAGTCTTAGTAATACTTTACTATTTTACTACGAAAATACCTTTTATGACAGTTGTGAGATCGGAAGTGAATTGAGACCGAACTTTTATTACGAGAATTGGCCTTCTGGTAATTTTAATAGAAACATATTGTGAAGAAGTAACATGAGTGAGACTAAAAAAATAATAAAAGTTCTAAAATCTCGCAAGCTGTACACTTTACTGCTACTAATCGATTTTCAATACTCTGTTAACTCTAGATAGCTACACTATCATTTACCTATACCTATCATATACCTGCGAAATTGAAACCATAGGTATCGATAATTTGCTTGAAACAGTCATTATTAAATAAACAAATTAATACTTTAAATATTATACTGCATTATTATACTTACTACACATATAATTTTCCTTTAAGTTATTACTTTACACCATCTTATCTACTGCTGATATTGAAGAGCCTGATTTTTGTTGTTTCCATAGTAAATGTTTCATAAATTACATAGACAATATAAATTCTGTCAATAAATTTTTCTACTTCCAACCATGGCCAAAGTATAAAATTACATTGTCACTTACGACAGTGACCCAGAGTGAGTTTTCAAAATTTCACAACTATTAAGAACATAAAAAACTGCCAGATAGGTAGATTAGGTTTTGTCGGTCATGTTTTCCCTTCAACTTTGAATGTCGAGATATTTAACTAATTATTCTTTCTAATATGAACGTTAACCTTTTTAAAATTATAAGTATTGAACTATAATGTTTCTAAATCTATCAGTGTTTTAATAAGCTTTTTTAATCAATTTTCCTAATATCACCACGTATGAAGAGAAGGATTAAATCAATTTTAAGCAAATTAATACATACATAAAAATATTTATTATGCACTAAAATTAACCACAATTTAATATAACATCGGTTATTGGCCTTACCTATCAACAGCAGCTTACGTGGATTCAAGGAATTACTCAACATCGAATCATTCTGTACTCTGGACAGGCAGAGTGCCCTCATATATTCAGAATACGAGTATGTTAGTACGAGTAATGCGTCATCTTACTTGTGCTTTGATCTTCTTTTACTGTTAGCTTTCTATCAAAAACTAGTGATGCTCACAATCAACATTTACTGCTAGATCAATTGATCAATTTTAAATTAATGTGTGATTATTAAATAATCCACAATCCCATAATCTAATCAATAGATACTAACAAAAAAAGAAAATCGGTGAACAAATAGGAGCAAAGTTACTAAACTGTTTTGTCTTTGGCTATGTACAAATATTTACACATGTATGAGTAGATATTTCCTATCTACTAACATATAAGAAACATTTTGCTTTTGACAAAAGAAACATATAAAATTTTAATGTATCTCTACACCTACATACCCTATTATATTTTTACATCACCTCAGGGTTGATTAGTAAATGATGGGCTTGAGTCCTCTTTTCTACAAATATATGTATGAAGTGTTAATAAATAACCAGGACATATGACCTTCAGCTTAAGACAAAACTGTTAAAGGTCAAGATGCCTTTAACCATCAGAATAAGAAGACATTGTTCCCTCACTTAATATTTGTTATCGTGTGAAATGTCCTTGCTAGCCTTAAATAAACAAGGGAAATCTGTCAGCTGTATCAACATTATAATTACACACCACAATATATATTTAGAATAACTTTAATGAGTGAATGAATGGTGCAGTGTAAGATCTACTTTCATTCAAGACTAATTTTATTGTGAATTATGCACCGAAAAGATAAGTAAGCTTATAAACAAATGCTGCTGAATTGTATTTTAGATAAACAAAATAACCGAAGTACTAATTACGTGTGATTCGTGGATTTAGTCCCACTACATATTTATTCAACCCTAAGAAAAAGTTACAACATAATTAGTGACCATAACAACCTTTAAAATCGTTTTTCTTTTTGTAACGGTTACTATCGCACTAAGAGGGTACGCAACTTATTTTCAATATTCTAAAAAATACATATTTACATTGTAACAATTACGTGCGATGTGGTAACAGCAAAATGCTATTTTAAGAACAGAGTGCTATAGACGTCTTCCGTGTCCATTTCGCAATTACCGCGTACACAAATACGACTCGACGATGATATGTTTATTTCGGACATTTCACTGCAATGTATACACCTCAAACACCTATATAATATGAGAACTGTTTGGTGTGCATAAATAAATTCATCAACAGCCTTAATAGTCTACTGCTGGACAAAGGTCTCTCCTTAGAAAGGAAGTGTTGGCCTACTATACCACACTGGCCAGACGGGTTGGTAAAGGGTTTGTATCAAGTTCTCCTTCTCTTTGAAGTGCTGTTGTTCTCCGAAGTTCGCTCCTTTAGTTCGCTCTTACGACATCCATAGGATGAATAACGGTGATAACACTCCGTATTCTTGATCCGTCATCACACGAATCAATTTTTACTGAATTGAAGACCTCAGAAGCTGTTAAGTAAAAAATGAGAAGCTAACAGAGAAATCTAAGAAGTTTCTTTTCGTTTGAATTTTATGGGTTAGTTTTAAAAACAAAAGTTGCGCTGTGTCGAAACTAAAACCAACCACACTGCTACGATGATTAATGACAACAGATTGGTGTTTATTTTTAAGAAAATACCTATCACACACAAGCAGTGTGTTTATACTTTTGTATATCAGTCGAAAGATGTAAGCTTTTTATTCATTGGGTGGCTCTAATACGAACAAAGAACTATTGGGTTCTATCTTTACAATCAAAGTACACAGTGTCGTGCGATCAAGATTCTTATTCAGATTTGAGCGGATGAGTCCAGACAGACAGTAAACAAATGTTGTGACAACACAATTTCTCAAAACTATCTTTTGAATGAGTGTAAAAGTTATATTTATAATATACTATATATTGTTTGATTATATCAAAAAAAAAAACAAGGTAGGGTAAAGTATAATACTCAATTAATGAGTTTACTAATAATCCAAACATTACAATCAAAAAGATAATGACACGTAGAACATAAGAATTTTACTACACCATTGGGCAAGCGAGAAGATGAAGAATCGAAAGAGCTTTATGACAATTATTATAAAATGTTATTAAACATTATCAATATTAATGATGAAATAGTGACCCTTAAATTTTAGTACAAATGTTATTTAAATCAAAAAAATATGTATCTCAACACTGATAGTTATAATACTAATTTAATTTTTAGATATATATAATATTAATACGTACCTACCTATTAACTGTATTATGGTTGCACTCATTCTAAAATATATAACATCTTTTAACCTGAATTCTCCGAGCTGTTTACCTGATTTCATTAGAAACCATCCATCTTAATATACTTAACGTAACAGTATCAAAATTAACACATTATCTACAACCTTACATGGTTTGAATGTTTTGATGTCATAAGGTTAAATGCAATGTAATATACTTTTTTTATAAAACCAGAGTATGAATAAAAGTTTGCACTGAACTTCTAAACCTACTAATAGTAAATCTATGCATAAAAAATAACTAAAGTGTAACTATTACGGATTCTAAATATTACACTTACTGACAACAGTCTCTAAAAGCAAATAAATCTGAATGGATGAATCTAGATGGACATTGACAACTAATATTTCTCTGAAACTTGTAGTAAATACATTATTCGGAAAGAAATATGGTAGCCGTCGTTTTCGGTGGGTGCGCTAATAAAAACGCAATAAGTCGAGGTGCTCGCCGACACCCTCGGGCGCGAATCCGAGGGTGTAATAAAATTACCGCATGAGGAGGATAAAATTTGTCATTCTAATTTCTGATATACTTTGCTTGAAAAATATATACACTTTCCTATTTTGTTATATGTAAATATTTTTTAAACTTCAATATGTATATCTACCTATTAAACCTTTACAATAACCTGGCCAGATGTTAAAAATTTATAAGTATTATTGTGTATTTCCTCAATTTTTGGCAAGTATCGCTTCAAAAAAAATACCATTTCCATTTATACGAAGCATACTGTATCCACTTGCATAAAAGAACATTATCGCAAAAGCTATAAACTACGTAATACTAGTATAAATAAATAACCATAAAGTTGATAAATCAATGATAATTAATAATAGAAATATCTTTATTCTCTATTCCAGCGCTGAACGAACGACAGAAACATGGCCACCGGTCCTAAAATAGTACACAAGCAGTTCAACTCGCCCATCGGGCTATATTCCCAACAGAACATCAAGGAGACGCTGGGAAAGCATTTGCAGAACCTCGGCAATGGCACTGTCGGGTAATTACCCACTTACTTTTATTTATTCTATTCGCATACATACATACATTCGGTCTTTATGCCGAGACAATGGTGGTAAGGGGATTTACCTCTGAGACCCATCGTTCAAATGATGGTGATATAAAGCTTGAGGAAATTTAATCTTAATAAGGAAAATAAAACTATAAACCGCTGCACTGTCACAATTTCTTCACATATTTTTCTTAATTGCATTTAAAAAAGACAATTCTCTAGACACTGTAGAAGGTCGCTTTTAAAATCAATGTATTTAGTCATTTAATTGGGATTCTTTTTTACGAATTTAACTATGTATATTCAACAGATTATTTCCTATATGAGTAGTACAAGAAATAATCGTTGAAGTAAATCATGAAACAAATTCCATGTTAACCTCGACTTCTGTAGACTTTCATTGGAGTTGTATAGTCTCTATCAATAAATTGTGTAAAAAACTGTTCCACGAAATATCAGACTGGGATTTTATGTAGGACGGAATTTTCATTCAAAATAATACAGAGTTGCCGATAATAAGTAAAAGAAACTGGGGAAAATGCTATTTTTTGTCGTGAAATATGGTTTCGCTGAAAAGCATTTATAACAAAAATTAATAAGATGAGTTACTATTTTTGTTCTTTGTCCTTAGTAAAAATTTATTCGATGTTGCTGAAGGTTATGTAATGACATGATTTGCATGACCTTTTAATACAAAATACAATACTATTAACTATATATATTATTATCTATCACACCGTATCCAGTGATAGCGACTCCTTCATCTTTAGCCTGGGTCCCCCCTTTGATGGGCTCTGATATGAATTACAAAACCGAACTTAGTTTTAAAAGTTCGGTTTCATTGCGCACAGTAGAGCTGGCCGTCCGAGTTTAATGTGTGGTGGTACGAGGTCCATGGTATACCATGGACCTCGTACCACCACCTCGTACCTCGAACCTATAGGTTCGCACATTTGACGCTTTGTGTCGAGATCTTTCATTTTGGCTGATCCCAGCCACCTGTTGGTATGGCACAGGAAAAAAGGTTACGCTTGAGAACGTCTTTTTACCAGAGGTATTGACCGCCTTGTCTGCGCTTTTCCCATGTTAGCTCAGAATAGAAGATTGCTTTTGGCAACCTTTTTTTTTTGTTGACGGGGTGGAAAATCCCTTCGGATCTCCGGCTCCGTGGGGATGCAGGAGCCAGGAGTATGTGATGCCTCCACCAAAAACCACCCCGACGGCAGTACTCAGGCGCCCCACTCCGAGCAGGACCCGGACCATGCTATTTCAGGTCCCCCCGAATCGATGCCGCGCTTAGCCAAGCCTATCCCGGGGAAAGAAGGCTTCCCCGCCTATCGACCAATCCTTATGATAATGTTGCGGCCCGATCGCATTTTTGCGACTAAGCCGCCATCCTATCGCCCACCGCAGCAGTTAATCTGCCACCAGAGGTAACCACTCTCTGGCAGTCTGCGGCCCCGTCGACGGCGCCATCAGCCGTCGACGGGGCTCTACGCTCGGCATCGGCCCTCTCTCGATCCCGTTCCGTCCCATCCCTCCTCACCCGCCAGCATGGCAGCAATGATTGCTGGCGGGGACAGGTCTCGTCCGATTTGGTCGATCAGGACCTCGCGTACAGACGGGGCGGGGCAGTCTTCCAGCGTATGCTGGGCGGAGTCCCAGTCGGCTCCGCAGTGCTTTTGGCAACCTGCTATCGTTCATGCATGAAACGTCGCCGGTCCATCTCAACTGATGTTTTATTATGAGTGTTTCTACTCCGGGTACACACGCTTTATGTAAAACCTCGGTGTTTGAAATACGGTGCTGCCATTTAATGCGCAGAATGAATCTTCGACATTGAAAGTGGAAGGCGTCTAGTTTCCTGATATCCGCTTCGTAGCAGCATGCAGCATATAGAAATGTAGGCAAGACACTGGCTTTGTAGACCAATATTTTAGTTTGCAACCTAATGTCATGTGAGTTCCAAAACGTGCTCTCAGTCTGCCGATGGCTGCTGCAGTGCCTGCATTCGGGCTGGTATTTCTGACGCCAAGTTGTTCTCGTTCTTTATGCTACTGCCAGATATTTGAAATGCGCCACTTCTACCAGTGCAGTATTGTTCAAGTTGATACTGGAGCGATCTTCACTGCAACCTCTTAGGGGGCTGCTTTAATACTTGGGTCTTAGTAGCTAAACTGATGACTAAAACCTGTGTCATGATGTGTAAACAGAAGCCTGTAATAACTCCGTGGATTCAGCCATAAGGCAGACGTACAAGATGTCGAGTATTGTAAGTTTTGTAATATGTCGCTTAGCTCTAAGTCGGAAAAGGTCGAAAAAACTCTAGTCGGCCCATGAGCTGTCTTCAATAAGGCTGTCGCAAGCATCTCGCATTACATAGGCAAGATATATCGAAAATAGAGCAGGAGCCAATACACAACCCTGTTTCACACCTCTAGTTACGGGAAATTGACCTGAAAATTCATTTTCATGCTGAACCCTCGTCCTCATGTTCTCATGGAATTGACGTATCAGGTTAATTCACTTTCCAGGACAACCACCTTTCTTCAATACCATTCACAAAGCTTGACGCGGTACTCTGTCGAAAGCTTTTTCTAAGTCGACAAAGCACATTTATAGTGCAGCTTTGCTAGCAGGCTTTTACTTACAACAAAGATGGCATCCACAGTACCTCTGCCCGGCCGAAAACAACATTGGGTTTCTGGGAGTATTAATGATGTGGGCTATAATCTTTAAAAACTGTTGAGAGGAGAGAAATACCTCTGTAAGAACTGCAATCGGCTATGTCGCCATGTCTTCGTACGTTTTACAGATGCAGGCATCTCTCCAGTCTTGCCGAATAACTTCGTACTCCCATATTTTTATTGCGTACATTGAGCGCAATGACATAGTACGTATCTTCTAGTTTATCTGTGACTATCTTAAAACTCCTTACGCAATTGCAAACCGTTCAGATATTTCACATTTGTTTTAAAAGTTTGAGTTCGTATCGTTTGACAGTTTCGGTGTTTGACATGAAGTCTACAATGATAGTTCAAGTTATACTGGTCACGTAAATAAAACAAAACAATCAAAACGGTCAGAATTCAAACATAAGGCGATCTATACTCGTAGTAGCTTTGAGTGTTCTTTACAAATTCCAGGATTCATCATCATCATCCTTTAATAGTCCACTGCTGGAGATAGGCCTCTCCTTAGAAAGGACGTTTTGGAGGTTTTTTAATCCAAATCAAGTGCTTTATTCATTATTAAATTATCAATTTTGCATTTTCCAAGGTAATTATAAGATATTAATTTTGAAAAAATCTCTAGACATAAGAATGAAAATCTCTAGTGAACGAATTGTTGATTTTACCATACTTCTACCAAACCTTTGGGGAAATATAGGCGTGAATTTACAAAGAACCCCGCATAGTGAATGAATAGATATTTATTTCGCCAGCGCGCTGTCTAATCAGGATTATGATGTATGATTCTTCAAGAAAACCGATACGTAGTAACATTATCTTACTTGTTACACCAATATAATAACTTGTGATAGCTCTCCGCTACATTTCTTTCCATAGAAGATAAGCAGTCTAGTGTGTGAAGTACATTCAATGTCGATGTGATTTATGCCTGTCTTTGCTTTAAGAGTAGATGCTTAGCTCTGGAAAGTTTATAGTTATATAGTTTATAGTCTAAAATTGTATTGATTGTTACACAAGGGAAAATAATATTTCGCAAAGTAATACTAATAATGATTTATATTAGTACTATTAAAATGATCAATCAGCTAGGGCCTAAAGGCCTAATTTAAAACCAAAGAATAAATTAGCTGGAGCACTATATTTTCTTTACTTTATACTATTGTTACCATCAGTACCACGAAATAAAAATTTCAGAAACATAAACTTCATGTTAAGGTAAGTGTGTCGGAAATCCCATACAGTATTGATATTCAACCACTAAAATACCGTTTAGCTAAATTTAAAAAGTTAAAACGTATACCTAGTTACCTACCTACCAGCAACAATTGTTACACTCAGCTATAAATGAACTCATTGATTATTTAAACTTTTTTCTAAGAGTTATTTTTACACCCATAAACGCGATCAAATCTCATTTTTCAACGTAAGTATCAATAATATTTAAAGCTCAGCAAAACTAAAAGTTGAAAACAACTGTAACATTTCGTATATAGAAAATAAACGCTGACTTGACTATTAAATTAAAATCCATAATTAAATTAGGCAATTTGCACAATAATTATCCTCTAATCTAAGCAAAAAGGCTGCTAAAGATAATTCTGCCAAAAATGCTAACAAGAAAATGATCATCGCCCGCCGTCCTTTCAACTAGGTTAATGGCTGATTCTTGAAATTTTGTGGGCAAGGTTATATTAACATATACAAAGTTAAAGCTCTATAAATAATTGAGGTCTTCTGGCATACATTTTTTACAAATTCCGGTGGGAAATAAGTCGGTGTTAATGACCCGAGGAATATGACTACGTGTTTATCTTAAAAACACCGGTATCGATCAAGTAAATAGGTAACATTTCACGCTGAGTTGAGTTATATAATTCTATTAAAAGGGCAGCTGCCTTATTTTCCCTCAACAAGAAAATATTTGAATTCACTACTTGTGATTGCAATTATTCAAGCAATGTTTTTATTTCTTAAGACATGATTTGATGTCGTACTCTTGTTTTCTTTTCATGTGGCTAACAACAAATTTGGTATTTTTTAATACAAACTTGAAACAAATTAAAGTCAAAGAGAAGTCAACGTATATTCTTTTATTTTCACTAAAGGTTTTCTGGGTGAAAATAATTGTGCATTAATTTTTAGCTGTAACATACGTTTCAAAGTTAATTACCGAAATGTGTTGGAGTTTTTGTAAACAGTAACTAAATATATTCTTCTTAAAATAGCATCCTGACTACATTATGTTCAGCGTTTTTAATACTTTTTATTAGCTTTGTTTTTAGCATACGAGATAAT